TAGTAGAAGTAACAAGCAATGAAATATACTAGCAAGCGTGTGACTAGCCTAACAGCAGGGTGAGCAGGGGTAAGGTTGCGTCAAGGTAAAGGCCATCAAGAAAGCATACTACCATGCAAGTCCTACCATAGTGTGATATGACAATAAAGTAAGCACTAGCATTTCTAATTTAGCCATGCGTAATAGGTGCTACGAGATTGGGTTGGATGTGGCACCTTCAGTGTAGTCGTCTCCGCACTCCTCACGGTACTCACGATCCTCGTCCGTCCGGTTTTCCTCCGAGTCTGCAAACGACCGCATTATAGTCGCGTTAGCGACGTCTATAGAATAGCACAAAGAAGCAATGAAAATTCAAAAGAGCCAAATGCACTCAAACACAGGTCCATTGCGTAGAGCTCGATTTTAGATGAATTTTGGTTCTGGTTTCGTATTTTTCCAAAGTCGTATGAATTAGTTATGAATTTTTGAAGATTAATTCCATTTCTGAAAATGAAAAAGACTGAATTAATCCTAGGCTGACACGTGTCACGCTGGGGTTGGTCCACGTGGTTTGCTAACATCAGCATGACGTCAGCATCACGATTTCGAGCTGACAGGTGGGGTCTAGCTGACGTCAGCATGATGTCATCAATGTCATGCTCACCGACAGGTGGGGCCAGAGGCTATTGAGTCTCTGACAGGTGGGTCCGGTCAAAGTCAACGGCGAGTCAATAGTCAACGTCTTCGGTCAACTGGCAGGGTCACTGACGTGTGGGGCCAGGGCTGCTGACGTCATCAGCTGATGTCAGCGTGACGTCAGCATGACGTCACCTTGGCTGTGCTGGCTTCTGACATGTGGGTCCTACGTGATGTCATCATGACGTCAGCATCTGACGTGTGGGTCCAGGGTGTCCGTGTCACTGACATGTGGGGCCAGGTCAACGATCAGCGTTGACCAGTCAACGGTCAATCTGGTGGGTCCTAGCCGGGCCGGTTGTTCTTCGAGGTTGGGTTCATGCGGCCGGGCCGGGCATCGCGGCACGCCAGGACGCGGCCACGTCACGGCCGTGGGCTCTTTACTGGGCCGTAATCCATGGCTGCGGTCTATGGTGGACTAAGTGGTGCTGGTCCATGGACCACAGACTGGTCTATGGTGGACCGAGTCCACCCATCGCCTCCCAGGTGTGGTCCAGGTACTCCGGGTGAACGCGTAGGTGGCCGGCGAGGGGGGGGGTGTTCCCCTGTTTTTTTCCCGCAGCAGCGCTCCTGCCAGCGGCGATCTTCACTTATGAGCCTCTGTGGCGAGGCTGGTGTCTGATTGGTGTGGGAAAAAGTTTCCCCGGGCCACGGCAATTGCGTCTGCGGGGTCAAGGTGGCGACCAGAGCTCCCCAAGGTGCTGGCCATGGCGGCGCGGCGGCTTTCAGCGGGGCTCGCCGATGGCGAGGTCGCGCCGCCGCCGGCTCTCTAGTGGCTAGTCTTTGGCGGATGATGGGGCTCTCACGGTTGTCCCGTGGGTGCACGACGAAGGCGTCCAGGGCTCAAGCGGGGCTTTCGACTCCTAGGTGGCCTTTTGGGGCTCCAGCGGCCATGGCGACGCGGTGTCGACGGCGATGCGCACGTTGGTGCGCTATGGGCTCTGGTGGGGTGTCACTGTGGTCTCGGTGTGCGTGTGGGTGCATGTGTTCCAAGTGGCTGAGGCAAGGCACTGGCCTACGCGCTCCAGGCATGGAGCGCCATGGCCAACGGTGAGGTCCGGTGACAGAGAGAGTCCGGAAGAGGGGAAAAAGCTCACCGTGGGTGGCGTGGAAGACTGGATGGCGATGCCGTGTCGATCGAGAGCCGTCTTTGCTCCGGTGTGGCCATGCGATGCCGTCTTAGAGCAGCGTCGGATTTGCGCACGGCATTTCCTTCGGCTCCGACGACCTCCTCCTCTGCGGCGGCCTTGGCGCTTTCTTCCTCTCCTTCCTTCCCCTTCTCCCTCCTCTCTCTTGGTTCCGGTGCGCAGCGTATGGCCACCAAATGGCGGTGGGTGATGGATGATCGCTAGGGCTCTGGGGCTAGGGCTCTTATAGCCGGTGCTCCGAGCTCCACGGCGGACGGCTGAGGATCGCGTCGAGCGCATCGAGCGGCTTGCGGGCGCGGGTGGTTGGCATGGCGTTGGCGTGGTATGCGCACAAGGGGGGGGCAAGGCCATGGCTCGGCGTGACCCCGCCCACTCTGCACTCATTGTCGGCCTTGATCGGCTGACGGTTGGGCGCGGCGTGGGGAAGATGAGCAGGGGATGGCTGACGGGCGGGTCCACTGGCAATGATCAAGGGCGAAGGGAAGAGGGCGTCTGGTGAGCAGTAGCGTGGTACGTGAGGCCAAAGTGGCAATGGCACATGGGCGGGTCAAGGCGCACGGTGGCGGCCAGCCAGAGTAGCCTAGGCTCGCTTGCTAGGCTCTGCAGTCTTGCCGCTTGGCTGGGCTGGTCGAGCGGCTTGAATTTGCAGGCCTTCTTCTCCTTTCTTCTTTTCTTTCTGTTTTTCATTTCCTTTCCATTGTTTAAATTCAAATTTGGTTTAGAATTCGAATTTAAAACTGAGGTAACTTGTTCATTAGAGTTTAGGGAATTTTGTTTAATAATAACTTTATGGAATTGTTAAGCATAACATAAAGCATTGAGAATCCAAATCACAATTTAAGTTAACATGTATGCAACATCTATCTGATAGAAATTAAATAACCATAATCAACATATAACATGCTATGCTTATGTGTTGACCTAGGTTTGGTTACTTCTAATGCAACTCCTGGGTTGGGTTACTTTACATGACACTCATCATCACATGGAAGTTTTTAGAAAAAAATTTGTAGTTGGTATTTTTGGTGTTTGGATTTTTGGGTTGTTACACTATGTAGCTTCCTTTTGCTTTGGTAATAATGTAATTATACCAAAGTTAAGGCTAAATAGGGGAAGGTTACCTTTGTGAAATTCATTAAAGAGAGGCATGAGATTGTTTTTTATTAAATCCCAAAAAACTTCATAAAACCCGGCTGGGAACCCATCGGGCTCTGAAGCCTTATTATGCTCCATTTGAAATATAGCCTTTCTAACCTCCTTTTCTGAAAATTCCGTCGTTAAGTCGTCATTTTTCTAACTGTGAACCCTGTGTAATGCTATATGTGAAGGACTCTATCATAGAAATTTTATTACTATCCAATTCTCCAAAGAGACCTTTATAGTAATTGGTGATGAATTTTTTAAGATTTTCATCACCCGTGATTGTACCTCCCTCTTGCTCCAAATGGAAAATCCTTGTTTTCCTATGTTTTCCATTGGCCACTAAATGAAAATACTTTGTATTGCAATCACCAGACAACAACTTAGTTGTCTTGGCTCGTTGATACCATTTGATCTCCTCTTCCCATAGCAGGAGTACAAGTCTCTCTTTATAGTAATTTTTAAGATCAATTTCCCTACTACTAAGACCATGTAACTCTGCTTTTTTATCTAATTCATCAGCTTTTCTAATCAACTCTGTTTTTTCTTTCTTGTACTTGCCACTTACATTCTTGGCTCAACCCCTTAGGAATTGTCGAAGCCTTTGGATTTTATGTTGCCATTTCTGTAGCGGAGTTTTTGCCTCCCAACTCCTTTTCTCCAAACATGAACAAACAACTCATAAAAATCACCCCTTAGCAACCAATGTATTTCGAATTTAAACCCTGGTTGCTTGTTTGCATGAGTGCCATTACTAGTATCTAAAAGTAACGGGGTATGATATGATATTTCCCTTGTCAACGCTTGTACCATCACAAGTGAAAATTTAGACTCCCATTCCGTACTCACTAAGATCCAGTCAAGCCTTTCATAAGTTGGTGTTTCTCTGGTATTGATCCAAGTAAATTTTCTGTTTGGGAGATCAAGTTTGATAGCATTAAATAGGAAGGGCCACCCATCCTCGTAGTGGTCATGTTCTTTTCTTGTGGGTTTCTAATAATATTACACGATTGCCTAGGATTAGAAGAACATATATACAAAAAGTGTGTGTGTGTATCTGCATGCTTACGACAATAGTATTTTTTGGACACATTCTATGGTCATATATAGGAGATATATGACCTACACTACCTAGAATTCAGAGTAGCCCTATTTTGGTGCCTTTGGGTAGAGGGGAAAAAGACAACACACTTGACAAGTATGTGTCCACTAGTGTTGACCTCAAATGTCAGGTATCGGTTCAAACCCACATTCACTTTAGGCATGTTCAACAAGTCTTCTATTTCCTAATCTTGTGAAAAAATAAACTTCATAAGGTTATCCCCCAAAAAGAGATTATTAGTGTTCAAATTACGGTTATTGAGTAGATCGCTTCGATGAAATCTCGCTTTCATCATTACATTTATGCTGAAACTTTCCTTAAGGATAGAACTCCATACATGTGCTCGGACCATACTGAATGAATCTGTGTTATTAAAGCATAGAATCGGTGATGAGCACTTAAAAAACATGAATAAGTGCAATCTCATGTTTGTAATATTTTGAACTTCCTATGAAATTTTAAGAATGACGTCATTACCTAAATTCTACTTTTCAATGTTATTACATACACCAATTCTTAAATTTATTTGAATACTAATATAAATCCAAGTCTCAAGTGTATTACAAATGCATCACATGATTGATTTTGGAATATTTGTAATTAACATCTACAATACTAAATAAATACACTATGAAGATATATTTCATGGTAGATTTTAATGGAGCTAATTTGATGTTGTAGGTGTTTGTGCATTTTGTCTATAAATTAGTCAAAGCTAGAAAAGTTTGATTTATGACAAAACTGAAACACATTACATTTTAGAATAGAGGGAGTACCTTACATGTAAACATACTAATGCAATCTAGAATACATTGTATACATACACACATCTTCTATGTGGCATAATCATATGTGAGGGAACAAAATATACCAGCATTCCTCACAGAAAATAGATGGTTACTATAGATGTTTCCAACATCCAAGCAAACACTAAGTTATTGAGCCATACTAGATGATGATGCAAATTCTTGCTCCAAGCTGTAGTACCTAGACATCATTGGAATTGTTAAATGTGTGTCATTGACAAGGACATCAATATATTCATGTGGGTGTTGAGCTTCTAAGAATAACAAAGGTTCTATTTCTCCATCCTTTTGAATTAAAAGGTGTGTTTTGTTCTTTAGCCTCTTCGATCTTAGAAATTGCAATCTCATATCTACTTCTTTCATACTTGGTCTATGTCCTCCTTTGGATCTTAAACACGCTTCTGTAAGTGCGGCAATATCACTAATCTCTTCTTGGTTTGCCTCTTCCACAACTTGACAATCCACTATTTCCATGAGAGCACCTTCCTGAAGTCCTTCAATGAAGTAACGAGATAAGCTTTGTTTTGCACCCGAGTCATTGATAAAAATTGGCTTCTTTCTTGTCAAAAGTTCCATAAGTATCACTCCGAAACTATACACATCACTCTTCTCAGTTAGTTGACCAGTATGATAATACTCTGGATCCAAGTAACCCAATGTTCCTTGGATATTTGTCACCACATGAGTCTCATCAAGTGAAAGAGATCTTGAAGCACCAAAATCAGAAACTTTTACCGTGAAGTTGTCATCCAAGAGTATATTGGAAGACTTCACATCTCTATGAAAAATGGGTATTGAAGCAGCTGAGTGTAGATATGCAAGTGCTCCAGCCGCTTCCATTGCAATCCTAATGCGATCATCCCAAGATAGCAAGCATGTTGTCGCAATATTTTCATGAAGAAGACCATGTAGAGTGCCATTTGATATGAACTCATAGACTAGCATGGGTACCTCATCTTCTAGGCAACAACCAAAAAGTTTCACTACATTGCGGTGAATGATTTGAGACAAAATAACAACCTCATTGATAAACTGGTCTATCTCTATTTGCTCCACTATTTTGGATTTTTTTATGGCCACAACACGCTGATCAGACATAATCCCTTTATAAACTGTGCCATGACCTCCGTGACCTAGAACACGAGTAGCGTCAAAGTTTTTGGTTGCCTCCTCTAGTTCATCCAAGGTGAATATCTTTGTGCTATTTGCAGTGCTTTCATTTGATATTAATTGCTCCAAGAGTAGACCTTGATTTTTCTTGAAGTATGCTCTTCTGATTCTCCTTTTTATATCTTGTTTCCACTTACCGACTAGTAGAATCACACATATTGCAAAACATATGGAGCCAAGTCCACAAGCAAGCCCAATTGCAATCCCTACATCCGTGAAATGTGAACATGAATATTTTGTGTAATCAATTTTGATGGATAAATACATGACTCACCGATAATTAGATTACGCTGTTTAGCTGACATGACACATTTGTTCTTTTTTGGATCATACACTTTTCCATGAGAGCAACCTGTACAATTGAAGTCTTCATCAAAATTGTGGTATATTCCATTGCTTTTTTGGAATAGATCACTCATCAATATTTGTGTTAGTAAGATGGATATATGTTGGTGGGCAAGTAAAGTATGCATGGATTTATTGTTGTTTCTCAAAAAAAGAATGTATATATGTTGGTGGTGCAAGTAAAGAATGCATGCATTTATTGTTGTTTCTCAAAAAAGTAATGTGATGTGTGTGATTATGTAGAACCATTGGTAGTGCATGTAGTTGTATGACCTTGTAAAGACATGTAGAAGTATAGAATTGTAAGTTACATAGTAAGATGCATCATGTAGTATTTTGTTGCATTCCAAAGTTACAAAAATCATAGCATTACTAATTGGATACTCTTTTTTAGAATTATATACTGATCCTCATAGACACGGTAGAAAAAAGATAAAGTGTAGAAAACCAAAAACATTTGGCCATCAATTAGGGTATGCACAATATCTTGAGAACAATAGCCAGTGTATCTATCCTATTTTAAAATAAAATCACCCCTTTTATGTATCGTTAGGAAAATAGTCTAAAGTAATAACCCTACAAGCCTATATCTAAGTTACCCTCTTCTGCCTGAAATATAATCTAAAGTAACCTCTAAATTTTCATACAACTTACCCACATCAACCATTTTGTAAGATATAATAAATTAAGCTCCTCAAATTTGCATCTAAATTAAATACATGTGCTATCATATAAAATAAACTAAAATTATCCCTTAAATCTACATATAAATTACTTAAATATGATAATTCCTAAAAAAGGATACCATAAAGTACCCAAATATGCTTCTAAAATACCCATTTTGAGCATTATTAGTATATATAAAAATACTACTCAAAATATCCAGAGATCCATATAGACATGCATAAGTATAAGTACAAATTTCTACAATTTATGGATGTTTCTTTAACAAATCACATAACAACAATGACACTAACAATGAAACCTGAATTATATTAATAATCCATGAAAATGAATTGTGTGAGTTGCTACATATGTTAGATAATTTGTACATCTTAACTAAAATATTATAACATACACATAATTCTTTGATAGAGTAAAATTGAACATCTTAAGCATTGAGGCACCGACTGAACAAATGCAAACGCTAGTGTAGAAACTAAGAGGATCTCTTGCATGCCCTCTAAACCCATTCCTACCCTAAATGTGAGGGGGGCCCTACTCAAACCCTCAAATGTGAGCCCCCCTCCCCCCCTAAAAAACCCTCTTCCCACCCCTTATATCAGGGATCAAGTAGGTTCCCCATGCGCAAGCATCATGTACCCTGTCATGATCATGTATGGTTTTGCTGATTTAGATGACAACACAAAGCACTATGACTAACATGTATATCAAGATATGTTATAAGTGTTCTACTAGGTCCTAGTGATGCAAAAGAAGTGATTGTGAAGACTAGTAAAGAAATAGAGCCAAAACATGCAAGTGTTCATAATAAGTTGCACATGCAGATGGTCCTACGACCATGAAGTTGAACGCATTGGACAATCAGTAGATCGTCTAGCTACATCCAATGGAGAAGCCACTATGCATGTCATTGGATTTTTTGTCAGTGGAGAAAAATAATGTGCTAGACAATCCACAATGCCAATGACATGTGAATATTCCACACTGGACGATATCATCCGCCAAATAATCAATACAAGGTGGTGAATCATCTGGGGTGCAACATTAAGTGTGAGAACTATTCCATTGAAGGCACCGTACATCCACCAACATGAATAGTGTCATCAACGGATCGTCCGGCAACCGATAAGCATGCCATCGTGTGGTTCAACACACCAAATGGTTTAGCCAAACAGTAACAATGGCCACAAAGAGATCATCTGATCATGCGACTAGTTGTGGTGGTTGGGCTATATATATGGACTCCCATGGCTAGCTTGCCTATAGTTGTTGGAGCGTCCCAAGGCTACTGAAAGATAGGGCAAACTATCCTACACTCCTTGCACCTCGTAAGTGCATATATATCACATCCAACGCTATAGACCTCTTGTTCATCTTTGTGAGGGTTAGGCCTTAGAGCTTGAGAGCTTTGAGAGAATGGCCTATTGTGCCCTTGTAATCTTGGTGAGATAGATCACTTGAGGTTTTGGTGAACAATCTTCCAATGACGTCAACCCTTTGAGCTTGGTGTGTGGAGAACAAGGAGATTCCTTCCTTGATGGAGGATCTCCATAGTGATCATGCTTGGTGAACGATGATAAGTTAGGCAACAAGTGGTTAGCCTTCTTGTCTTACAACACTTGCCTTGGTTGATGATTGTAAGGAAAATAGACCCTTGGCCCATTTAGTTTGGATTTTGGTGTTTGATGATCAACAAGACCAAATTGGACTAATGTATTTGCAAGTGTTTGTTTTGTAGTCCAATAGGGTGCAAGAGTGTTTTGGATTTAGGCAACGATGGGATCCGGATGATCAACACCTCAAGCAAGACATTTGAAGCTACTAAGAAGACCTATAAGATCATGCATAAGTCCAAGACACAAGATGGAACCAAGCCTGGTGCAAAGATCTCAAAGAAACAAGTGAAACATGGGTTTTTGGGTGAACGGACGCTGCACTGGACGCCCTGACCGGACGCGTCCGGTGCTAAACCCTAGCGTGGGTACGCTTCCTGTGTGACCAGATGCTGAGTGCACAACTAACCGGACATGATGGTGTCACTGTTCGACAACTTAGCACTCACCGGTCGCATGGACCGGACGCGGGGACTGCCGAGTCCGGTGGCTATGCAGAGAGGTTCTAGATGGGCGCTACGCCGACCGGACACGTCCGGTGGCTATGACTGGACGCCAGTAGCGTCCAATCAGTTCAACGCGCCAACGGTGGGGTAACTGTTGAAGGTGACCGGACGTGTCCGATGCGAACGACAGTCGCGTTCGGTGCTAGCCAAGAAGCAGAGACTTGGCTTCAACGGCTACTTTCTCCATGAGGCTTATAAATAGACCCCCCCAACCAGCCATTTGAGGCGTGGAAGAGTGAGAAAACATACCAAGGGTGTTGAGACACCATTTTAGAGCTCTCCACTTGCTAAGTGCTTAGTGATACATTCGGTGATTAGCATAGGTGCTTTGCGAAGTGCTTAGGTTAGTTAGACCACCGCTTATGCGCTTGCTCTAGGTTTAGGCCTAGTGTTTAGTGAGGTTTGCATACCTCTTACCACTCGGTGCTTGCGCGCACCATTTTTGTACACCAGAGGGGCTTGTAGTCTTGCGAGATCACACCAACTGCGTTTGTGGTGTGGCCGCCACCATGTGCGGAGGGAACAAGGCCCGCGGCATTTCGGCCGGAAGCTTGATAGTGAAGACGACGGGGAGCATCCAGGAGAGGCTTGTCGGAAGGCACGTTGGAGACCCACTTGAGCGTGGGGAAGGCTTGAGGCTATCCACGGAGTTACCCAACCAGAAGCTTGGCCCTTGCGAGGGATTCCTAGCGAGGGGCTCCAACAAGAACTAGGGGGAAGCTTGCGCGCTTCTCGATACCTCGATAAAAATACCGAAGTCGTCGATGGAAGTTTGCATATCTCTACCCTACTCTTTAGCTTCCGCATTTACATTGTATACATAACTTGTTTTGCGGTAGAGATAGCAACGCACTAGCAAAACTATAGTTGCACATCTAGATAGTTTATCTTTTGCATAGGTTTTGCTAAAGTTAGAAAAAGAGGCCATAGATTGGAGTTAGAGTTTTAAGTTACCTAATTCACCCCCCCCCCTCTTAGGCGTCACGGTCCTTTCAATTGGTATCAGAGCCGGTTGGCTCATCTTTGGGCCTTTGGCTTTACCACCGTTGAGCCGACGTCATTTAGAGTGGGAAGGATGGATACCTCTAGGCCTCCGCACTTTGACGGCACTAACTTTCCTTATTATAGTGCTAGAATGGCTTGCTACCTAGAAGCGGTTGATCTAGGTGTTTGGAGAGTCACTCGCAACGGGATGAAACCCCTTAAGAATCCCGAGAAACCAACCGCGAGTGATGAAAAAGAGATTTATTTTAATGCTAGAGCTAAAAATTGCTTGTATGAATCTTTTAGCTTTGATGTTTTTAACCAAGTATTCACTTTACAAATGGCATGTGAAATTTGGTTAAAACTATATGAGCTCCATGACGCCCCAAGGAATGTCCGTGAGCAAAAATATTGCCTAGCTAAAACAACCTATGATTCCTTCAAAATGAATGAAAATGAGCTTGTAAAGGACATGTATTCTCGTTTGAATCTAATTGTCAATGAGCTCAATTCCATAGGGTTGACAAAGCTAGGTGATGCGGATATTGTGAGGAAGATCATCTCCGTGCTACCACATTCAAGATATGCAAGCATCATCACCATCCTCCATAACTTGGAGGACTTTAGCAAAATGACCCCGGCCATTCTTATTGGCAAGCTAGTGGCATATGAGATGTCATGCAAGATGGGTCAAGAAGAAGCCACTTCATCAAGCAAAGCCACCGCTCTCACATGTGATGAGCGAAAGAAGATGAAGGGCAAGAAAGTTGAGTCAAGCTCAAGCTCAAGCTCCTCAAGTGAAGATGAAGAAGAAGATGAGGATGATGATGAATCAAGTGATGATGATCAAGCCTCCACCTCCTCCAACTCCTCAATGGATGATGAAGAAACAATTAAGCTTATACAAGGAGTAAAGAGGATGATCCGCAAGCTCAATGTCAAGGGTGTGCACATCCAAATTGAAGATTGCATCTTCACCAATCAAAGAAGAGAGCAAAGAAAGAAAGGATGCTATGGATGTGGCAAGAGAGGGCACTTTGTTGAAGATTGTCCAACCAACAAGCCCACACCCAAGGACAAAAAGAAGGTAAAGCGCCAAGCCCTCACTTCAATCAAGTCTTGGGATGATTCATCAAGTGAAAATGAAGCCCAACACAAGAGGCATGGCTGCAAGCAATCATCATCAAGCACTTCACGCGTGTGCCTTATGGCACGAGGTAACAAAAGTTCTAGCTCAAGTGATAGTGATAGCGATGATGAGCTACCTTCTTATGATCAACTTGTGCAAGATAATCTTAAATATGCTAAAGCTTGCACTAGCCAACAAAAGAAAATAAATGATTTAAAAGCAAAGGTAGATAGCTCACAGCAAGCTTATAAAGTTTTGCTTGAACAATATGAAACTTTTGCTAATCTTAATGTTGAGCTATCCACTAAAATTGAGCAATTAGAGGCTAGTGCAAACACAAAAGAATGCACATTCAATGATGAGCAACTAGTAAAGAAAAATAAGAAATTAAAAGAAAAGTTAGCTAGCACACAAGATGCTTACAAAAGTGTGCTTGCTAAAATGGAAATCATGTGCAAACATTGTGATGAGCTAACAACTAAAGTTGTTAATCTTGAAGCCGTCGGTACAACCCCCGCTAAGGCACCTAAAAATAAAAGTTCAATCTTTGATATGCCTAAAAAGGATGCCTCTACTTCTTGCATTGATTTATTGGACTCACCCCTTTGCAACCAAGTTCGTTTTGAGAATGTGTTTGTAGAAACATATACACAAGAGGTTGCAATGGAGAATGAGCAACTAAAGCAAGAAGTAGCTCGCCTCACCAAGGACTTGACTCAAGTGCAAGGCAAGACAAAGCAAGCCCAACCTCATCAAGATAACACCATCAAGGGAGTGAAGAAGCTTGATGAGGGAGAAACCGTGGTTTGCTACGTGTGCCACAAGAAAGGCCACAAGTCCTATGAGTGCAAGGTGAAGAATGGGGGACAAGGCTTGTTGCTCATCCTATGTGTGCCACAAGAAAGACCAAAAGTCCTATTTGTCCAAAAGAGGTTTGTTGACCACGACAAGGCATGTTGACCAGGAGCGTATCCTTTTTGGAGCTCCAATGTGGGCTATGGATTGCATTTTGGGAACTAATACCACGAGATAAATCTTTGTCTCTAGGAGTTTGCTCTCTCATGACTTGCTCTTTACCTTACACATTTGAGCTTCTGCATTGTGCTTGATTTTTGTGACCTATAGCTTTCCTAGATTAGCATAGGCTAGTTGGTAGGATTAGCTATAGGATGCAAAACTCGTTGTGGGTTGTCTAACGTAGAGCACACTAGAAAAACCTAAGGTGTTTTATGTTTTTTCTAGTGTAGATCAAGCTCAGCCTAGGTTTAAGTTTTTAGAGACCTAACTCGTCCTCCTATTGGGTATAGGACTCATGTGTGCAAACAATACCTAATTCACCTGACAATAGCGCCAGGCCACTAGAAAACAAGGGAAGCCACTTCTAAGGCAAATACAAGGCCTGACTTAGGGGTACTGCTAGAGATAATATATGAGTTTAGTTTAGAACCTTCAGTCGTTTTAACCAAATATGAAAGGAGCATTTTAAATAATAGACACAATAGCACTAGAATTTCAATCTAATTAACACGAGGACAAAAAAACTACAGCAACTAAGCCAATATTGATAAGCATATTAGCTAGAGTCACAACACATGGGCTACAACCAGAGCAGGCATAACTCAAGCTAAAGTTATGACTAAACACGTGCCAAAACATACCTAAGGTCCAATGACATTGGGTAAATATGAATATGTATGGATGGGAAAACATATAGTAATTGGTGACTATAGTGTATCATGACCAGATAGAAAATACAAAGCATGTGGATTGTGTTAGAAAACTAATAGAGTGCATGTGTGTATATATATAGCATTTGTATCACAGACATTAAAGATAAGTAATTTTAACTAGTTGCAGGTCCTAAATTACGCACAACTTATAATACTTATGTTTCTTAAAGTTATAGTCTGTGCAGTAGCACAATTCGATAGGTTAGTATTAGAGAAACAAGAAAACTTAGTGCAAATAAGTTTAGGAAAGAAATATAACCTGTACAATTATTTTTAAGGTACGGATTTCCGTGGAAGCCATCGGAACACTTGCAGAGGTACCCAAAACGTGTTTCCTGTCGCATGACATCTTCACAGAAACTGTTGTCACTGATGCATGCATATGTTGCATTATTTAACCTAGCTTCCTGACAAGTAAAGTTTGCTACAACCCATTTTAGCATTATATCTTCCTGAGAGCAAACTAAAAGATCGTCCTGGTGAAATTTAGTAAAACTTTGACACTGACTATCATTATAGTTTGAAACTGTCAGAAACCCATCATCAAGTGATAAACTGGTCACACGATATTGTGTGTCTTCTCGATCAAGAACAGTAGTGGAGTTGCTTGTGCAGTTGAGTCGTAGATTATCATTTCCGAAACAATGTTCTTCAATCCCAAAAGGAAATGGAATGGCCATGTTTCCACATAATCTCGTACAGTTCTCATTGGGCGCCCTTGGATTGTAACCTGCTTCAATTCATGTTAGACAAAGTGAGGAATTAGGATATTAATCCAAGGGAACTACAGTAATAAGGCATTTTTACAGGAAGAAACTAGTAAGTTTAGTTCAGCGGTAAAGATTTGATATGTATGGCAATACATACAACAAATGCAGGGATCTGTTATTTATTAGTAATAAATAACACATCAATCCACATGCATGTGGCAAAATTTGTGATTCGCGTGGGTGCTTTCAGATCATTGGTAATAATATGAACTGACGACAATACAATATCCAAATCTAGAATATGACTCAAACCACTTAAAAAGCTATATACGTCATGTGAAAAAGAAGCAGAGGAAGCATGAACCTTGGATGCAGCCATCTTCAATATAGGGGTTGCCAATTTGACCAGGGTAGGAGCAACTGTAGCCTCCTCGAGATAGTGGAAGATCGCTGCATATGCTTTCATTATTACAAGCATAGGTTCTCTTATTCTCTTGGGATTGGGCACTTGCACAGCTTGGTTGGTCCGTGATTGCAATGTCAAGTGCCATATCGTTAACATTGGTTGTATCCACCCAACTTGCATTAAGATCGCCTATAGCGAAGTTATAGTATTTCGTAAAGATAACCTTGACACGAGAGAGATCTTCATCTAATAATTGTGGAATCGTACTATTGCGGCGGCGAAGTTCCAGAGTAAAGGCTTGCCGGCCACTTATTGATAACCAGATGTAGCAGCAGCCAAACCCTTGACAGGCACCGGTTCCCACGTTTGCCGTCTCCATGATCTCTCTGCTATCTGTGCAAATACTCATGCAAGAACCAATGGCATCTGTCTCATTATCACCGAACATGTAGACGTCCACACCACAGCCAACAATGTACAAATAATTATCTTCATCAATAATGACACCAGTAGGGGCCTCCCAGGACTGAGTGTAGGTGTCCACACCTAAGCCCATGGTGATGTTGTACTCAACAGGAGAAGCATGAACATAATTGCTGCCGACATCTATAGAAGTCACCTGGGTTGAGCTGTTTGCCAGGAAGAGCCTAGGGGAACCAGTTGTGTTGTCGCAGGTGAGCTCGAAGCCTTGCCGGAAGCAGCCCGGCCCTATCCCAAAGGGGTACGAGATTTCGACAGCCCCGCAGCGGGAGGGGCAGTGCGCCAGGGAGGCGTTGGTAGGGACAACAAGGAGCCCATCCCCGGTGCCGGCGGCATGGACCTTGGCCGGCGCTCGCGCCACGGCGACCAAACACATGAGCACAACGCATGTGCGAGCTACTAGCACTCCAGTGGAGCACATGGTTGTAGCCGAAGGTCTGCAAGGGCTTGTCTATGGAGTTGGAGTATGGTGTGTGTCTACACAGTTTTATGCGTTGGGCAAGAAAAATATCGGAGTAGCAGTCCAACACTCGAGATAGCGATGGTATTACTGGAAGCACGACCGGGACTTGGAATATCAGGGCAATAGTACCATCTGATGTTATGGTCGTCGCTGGGGCCAAGAAGACTTTGTCAAACGAGATGTGGACTGTGGAATATTATTCCTCCAGCCTTTGATTGATGGAAACAACGATGTACCTTGTTCTCCAGTCTGTGCCTAGAAATGGGAGAGAAATCATGGATTACACCGGCCACGTTAACTCTCATTCATGAGATATGATATAGAAAAATAAATAAATACTCCAACATTTGTTCATCTTACTATTATTAATTTTCTCTATCTAAAAAGATACTCCCTCCATTCTAAATTAGAAGATGATTGGATTTTTATATACATTGTTTTTGCTATGCATCTTGATATAGTGTATATCTAGCTAGATGTATAGCAAAAACAATATATCTAATAAAGTCAAAACGTCTTATAATGTAGAATAGAGGGAGTATCACTTCTCACTTTAGAGTCAAATTTCTACCATAAAACTTGTCATTTAGCTTGTGCGCAACTAGGTGTAGTCGTCAACATTAATTCACCAAAACAATAGAAATGTTGCTACACATGTAAGGCCCTTTTGGAACGCAGGATAGAAAAATTGCAGGAATAAAAAAAACATGAATGTAATAGGAGTGCATATGCAAAATAGAAGAATGAAAAAACACATAAATTTTTTAAGAATATGTGTTTGGATTAACGAAACATGAAAATTGAGGTTTAAGAGGATGTTTTCCCATAGTCTTTCTATGAACTCAAACATCAAGGAAATTTTCTTATATTTTTCCTGCAAACCATTTCTGCAAACCAAATCATGCTATAGTAACTCAATCCATAGGAATGAGAATTCTATATTTTTCCTTTCCAATAATCCCAAGAGGAAGCTGATATGTCCGGGCTGCATGCATGCATGATGTGGGTAACCAAATCCTAATATTGGAAAGGTTGCATGTTTTTCCCTTGATTAGCTCCACAAACATGATGAAATTACTACAATAATTAGAGGCACCTAGGCAAATTTCCTTGAGGGCACATGTCTTTAAGGAAGGGCTATTAACTTGAGGTCTTCAAAAGAGGTTTCACATTAACTTTCACAAGAGGTATACAAATTCTAACAAATATCTGAAATATCTAGTTACCATTATTAGGTCATGTTTGGTTGAGTTGTGGCTTTTGAAAAAGTAGCTATGAGTTATGAAAAGCTGCTATGACACAGTTACTAAGACTGACACGTCAATTTTGTATATAGGTAACTCTATAAAACTTTCTCTCTCTCTTCATAATTATTTTACTAACTCAATAAATTTTTTAATGTGTCACGACATTAAATAAGAATAAAACTCATTTTAAACTCTCTTGAGACTGGCCAATATCGCAATCCTCCCAGGTGCAACTAGCGGTAACACCGCAGCGAGAAGAATTTACATCACGGAAGACTAGAAACCACCGCCACCATCTTAATTACATGGTCCCACAGCCACACGTAAGATTAGCTACTAGAAGTATTTCCTCTATTTTTTTTAGGTCAGTCCCAATACAAGTTTCATGTCATACACAATGCCTTCTAGCATTTCTCTCTGGTGCACAGACCAAGGAGATGATTATGGCTAAGTTTAATCCTTTCCAATATCTCCTTCAACCAATTAATACTGCTGTACACCATGCCTCCGTCGCTCTACCTGCCAGCTAGCATGCAAAAAATTGGCTCCCTTGTACTCCACTACTGAAGTACTCCACTTGCACGCTGATTCGATTATGTGGAAAAATCGTAGGCGCGTTGTTCTGCATGCCTCTCCCACACAAACGTCCATACGACATGTATTTCTGACTTTTACACAAAAAGCAAATACGGCATGTCGGCATTTAGTAAAAGGTGGAGGAAGTATTTCATATCTCGCTCAAAACTAGTGGAGCTTGACCGGTGTTAAGTCTTCTCACGAGTTACCATCCGTGATGTGAACCGAAGCAAATTTTAAAGTGTTCTGTGTTTTTTCGTTTGTGTTTGATTTTTTTAATGGAAATAGTAGGGGTTGCCCCCTACTGGCTTTTATTAAAAAACAGAAAGCAGAGTCCGTAAAGCAAAGCTCAAGAGACATAACAAAGAAAATAACAAGAATGCACAATGGCTTCGAGCCATTGGTTAATGAGTGGTTCATAACCCTTTGCTCGAAGGATAACCTGAGCAAACTCCTTTTTGAATATCATCTTGCAACCCTGCAATGAGGGCTGAATTCCTCTAAAGATCTTATCATTTTGCACTGACCATATGGACCAACACATGGCTATTAGTACTTCCATGAAGAAGGGCAACTGTAGCTGAGTTCTCAAGGAAACTAGTGTGGCGAAGGGATTACCAAGATGAGGATTAAAAAGATCAAAAGACTAGCCCAACAGATGTTGGCAAAAGGGCAGGCTAAAAAGAGATGAGTTGAAGACTCCTCGGTCGCTAAACCACATAGCACACAGTTGTAGTCATCCAAATGCATATTTCTGTGTCTTAGAAGTTCTCTAGTGCTGAGACGATCTTTAAGAAGAAGCCAGAAAAAACCTTGCGTTTATTTTGGCAAGAGGATTTCAAAAGCCACCCATAGGCTCGGTGTATCTGCCCAGTACCAATCAAGTGAGAGTAAGCTTTCTTTGAAGTGAACAAGGGGAACCCCAAATGTAGGTCCAAAGATCTGAATCCTCTTGTAATTGTAAACCATCTAGGACCAAAACTAAACTTTGGTAGTGTCTGAAAGCTTCCTCTTATATAGGCAGGTGAAATAAATCATGTAGAGTCTGCACTTGGCAAGCATGTTGCACTGTGATGGCCTGATTCTTGGCAAAGGAGAAGAGCTCGGGCAGCTCATGTGAAAGAAGGTTATTGTTCCAGGCATCCAACCAAAGGAAGCATGAAGAACCATCGTTAACAGAAACCGGGGCCATACCTTTATAAGAATCTAGGAGCTTGAGAGTATCACGCCACCAAAAAGAGACCCTTTTGTAGTAAGCAAAGGCAACTTTCCATTTGTATAATGACAACCCCAGATAGGATCAACCCAAGGTATCTTAGCATTGTTGAAGAATTTGTCGAGATTTTTGAGGAGCAAACTTTCATTCTGAGTATGTAAATTAAGCACTCCGAGACCCCATTTTCTTTACGTACACATACCATTTTCCAACTAGCTTTGGGGGCGTTGCTATTGATGTCAGAGCCATGCCATAGGCAATGTTTCGTGAACTTGTCGATTTGCTTGATGATACTTTTTGGGAACTTGAAAGTGCACAAGGCAGAAGGGCACGACAGTGACAGTAGGTCAACGGTTTTCATCACTTTTTCAGTAGAACGCTAAACGTAGTGCCCCTATACAAACAACGAACCTAGTAGTCTATCACCATCACTTTTTCAGGTTGGCCCGGCCCATCCTAGCAAGCAAGCCTTTAATTACATATACTGAAGCTATATAATTAACTGTATTTCTTATTTATATTATGCCTGAATACGGTAGAGTTTAGGCCCCAACTAGCATTTCACCACGGGTTCCTAAATTTCTGAAAATGACCCTGCCTGAAGGGGTGTGTGTCTTAAATGTCTCTTCAGGAAGAAACTAGCCCTTTCGGGCGTCAGGATGATTGGTGATAAGCATAATCAACACATGTATCCGTATCATATTTGATTATCCATATCTGTATCCGTGAACGCGATCCAAACCATTGTCCTCATATCCGTTGAAGGAAAATAGGATCTCTTACGAGGAGAGACCCCCGCGTCATCCCTAGCGACGACTCGAGGGGCACCTAGTCGCTGCCGCCGAGGAGAGACCCCCGCGGCGGCCAGCAGCCAGTGAGGGTCGGCTGGCTCGCGCCCACGGTGGCCGGTGGCCAGATCTGCGGCCCTAGCCATGGTTCCACGGTCGGTGCTCAACAGCTGCTCGTCCTTGACCTGGATCCACGCGGCGCCGTGTCGACAGCTTATCTGGCTGTCTCAGCTCGTTTCTGGGGCTGCCGCTGCTAGTTCCGCGTGATGCCGATCTGCGCGGTGGTGCCCCCGGCGTTTACGCTTGCGCCGTCATGGCCATGCGCGCCGTCGTTGCTTGCCGGAGCGTCTGCGCCGGTTCTGGCCTCTTCGTCGGTGCGCTGTCCTAGGACGCGTGGAGTTTGGGGCAAAAGCTCAGCTCGGCTTTGGCTGGGCGGACGACGGGGACGCCTCGGACGCCACATGCCTCCTTGGGGCCGTCGTTGTTGAACTCCATGCTTCCTGCCGACAGCATTGGATTCTGGGCATCAGCCCCGCCTTACAAGTTGTAAGGCCAGTGGTGATGGCGTCCATGGTGCTCACCTTGGCCTGAAGGCGTCGCTGAAGAATCCCTTTGACTTGTACTCGACATCCGTGCCTCCTTTCGTGCTGTCGGCTTCTGGTGGAGTTCCTGGTTGTGCCTGCATGTGCCTATACTCTATTCACAATGGTTTTGCCTACACCAATCGACCTTGCCTTTGTCGTCTGACTTTCGTAGCGGATGCTTTGCCACTATCGTTGTCTCCGTGGCGGAATTGGCCATCATTGGTTTCTCTGGCGGATACTTTGCTGCTGTTGTTGTTGGCCTCCGCTCTGGCAGATGCTTTGCTGCCGAGTGTGTTATGGTCGTTCCCCCTGCAGATGCTTTGTTGTAGTGGGCGTCTTCGCTCCTTCCCCGGCGGATGCTTGGCCGTTGGTGGAATCCCTGGCGGATGCTTTGCTGCCACTGCTACTTGGTGGTTACTTGGTCGCCGTGTCTTTGCTGACGGATGCTTTGTCGCCATTGTTGCTTTGGGTGGATACTTTGCCACCTTGGCATATATTGTCTTGTTCGTAGGCAACTATTGCGTTGTTATATTCTTTTATTGTAGGCTCAATTTATAGGTTTCGAGTTTTGAGGACAATCGCTTCTTTTCTTCTTTTTTTCTTTCTCTTATAAGTTGTATTCTAGGTCACTCATCACTAGTTTAGTGGTTTATAATCTGTGCTACGAGTGCTCTTTCGTAGCTGCGTCACGCCCAAAGCATCTTACCCATGTCAAAACCGGTCGGCCCAACCCAATGCGCCAACGAAAACCGTCGGCCCAACCCAAACGCGTCAAGGAAAACCCAACTTCACGAGCCTATAAAGATGGCCCGGCCTCACTCTCGCTGTCTCGCATCTTCTCACCAAGCCAAACCAACCTCTTGCACGAACACGTTCCAAGTTCCAAGAAGAGACACGAGACACGCACAAGGGCTCCAAGACCCAATTCCATTTTTGTGATCGCTCGCCCGATTCGAACGAACGCGAACGTGGACCCAGGTGCAGGAACCCGAACGGGCTCCATCAGCCGTGCCGCGTGCGTACTGCACAGTACTGAAGCCGTTCTATCGACATTCGACAAGCAGGTACCCCTCTCTCTCTTTTTCTATTTATTTTTTCGTTTTATTGTTTTATATCTGTTTTTTCATTTGTATTTTTATTTTTAACACATTAATCCATCTACTTTACATGATCCTATATGATTCATAAACTAGTTGTACTGTGCACCATGTTTTTTTTTTTTTTTCACTATTTTTCTCTCTTTTTCTCTTTTTCTCTTCCTCCGATCTAATTAAATCTTATGACCACAAATCTGTAAAAGCTATGATGAGAAGTTGTGGTGATAATCTTGATCTACGTATTTATAAGTTATACTAAATAGTTATTTCATACCAAGTTTTAAATTTTTGCTAATATGTTATGCTATTAACTTGTACATCTAAGTTCTTGATATAACTTATATGTGTTTTTTAGTATTCTTTTCGTTTTTTATATTTTTTTGCAGCGTTGACAAGTTGTATATAATAACTTATGTACACGAGTTGTATAGTATAACTTATGTACTTGTGTTTGATAACTTTTGTACATAAGTTGTGTTTCATAAGTTTGGTATAAGTTATAAGTTAATTCGTTCCTTCTGTATTTAATAACTTTTGTGTTTTCAAATTTTGGTATAAGTTATAAGTTAATTTGTTCTTTTGTGTTTAATAACTTTTGTACATAAGTTGTGTTTCATAACTTCTGTGTTTTCAAGTTTTGGCATAAGTTATATGTTATAAGTTTGTACACATAATTTGCTACTATAATAAAATTCTTAGAAATATACACAAGTGGGGTCTAGTTTTATTCGCCTCGTCGCATAGAATACACTCGTGCAGATGAAATTTAAAATGGATACGCCGTTCAAAAGTTATAGCATTTTAAAATAAATATTTAGTTTTTTTGTCTTAGTCATGTGATATCACAGCAGCCAAAAGAGAATCTTTAGGAATAGAAATCGAGAGTTTGTATGCCAAAAGAGGAAAGAGGTGGGATCTGTATTTTTTCTTGAAATGGAATATGGTGGAAGCTGTCCCATCGTTCGCTCACCTGGAATGTTCGCTGAATAGCGGTGCCGGCTCGAAGATGAGCGTGGAGATCCTGGACGGGAGCACTGTCCGTAGCTTCGTGGAGGACGAAGGCGCCTTCAACTCCTCGGTGGACGGCCGGTTCGCCTCGCTGGACTCCGACCACGACGGCCTGCTCACCTACGCCAGATGGCCGGGGAGCTCATGAGCCTCCGCGTGCTGGAGAAGCACTTCGGCGTGGACGACGCCGTCGTGGCGCCGGACGAGCTCGCAAGGCTGTACCGCGGCCTGTTCGCGCGGTTCGACAGGGACGGCAGCGGCAAGGTGGACCGGCACGAGTTCCGCGCCGAGATGAAGGAGGTGATGCTCGCCGTGGCAAACGGGCTCGGCTTCCTCCCCGTGCAGATGGTCGTCGAGGAAGGCAGCTTCCTCAGGGTCGCCGTCGACAGGGAGCTCGGCCAGCTTGCCAAAGCTGCGTGAAGCTCACGCGGGAATATAATGGGGGGATACTACTTGATTGGACTATTAAACTTTTGAAGTGTCACAACTGCAATTTTTACATCGAGTTGCAGTGTTACTTCAAACGTATGTAGTGTACTTCTTGTTTCATTACCTACAAAGACTTATTGTTTTTCAAAAAAATCTGGTTTTAATCCGGCTTATATTAATATTTAGAGTAAAATGCACGTGAGGTCCTTAAATTTTTAAAGCATTTTCATCTGGATCCTCGAACTAAAAAAGCTTCCATCTAAATCCCTAATCTACTGCCGTCGCGCACCAAAGGTCAAAAAAAAAAAACCTGCCACGCCAGCACCAGCATCTAACGTGGCCGTGCCACATAGGCAACTGGCGCTCGACGCGTTGGGAAAGCAGAGCAGCGAAGCGACGGCGCCAAGGGCGAGGTCGTCGTCTCCAGCGAACGAGATGGTGTCAAGGGCGAGGTCGTCGTCTCCGGTGAGCGCATCCACTGCACCCACTGACACCGCCCTGTCGTTCACGTTCGCGCACTGGGCCGCCGTCTCATCCTTTCTCTTTTGTGCTCGACCGCCTGGATGCTCCATCCGCCGGCGAAATTCGCCGCCGTCAAGCTGCCCATGTCCGATTCCTTTCGTAGCCAGAGCCGCCTTGTCCTCGCTCTCCGTTTGGACACAGTCGCGGCAGTCCTCTCAGCCGGAATCGGCTGCGCGCGCCATTTCCGCCGCCGCGGTCCGCCATCACCATCGTGAAGCTCCTCGCCCGCGCCCTACAGCTCGTGCCGCCACGCCGCTGCAAGCCGCTAACCACCCTCCTCCGCGCGGTCCGGAGGGACGAGGATGAGGCCAGGACCACCTCGCACGCGCCCTCCGTCGGGTCAGCGGGGAAGGCGGGCGACGCCACGTGCGCGTTCCCGCGCCACGTCCGGGGTGGAGCAGGGAGCAGCGCACGCGTGCTCGACGGACGCCGCGCTGGAGCCGGACTTGAGCACGAGGCGCTTCGAACCCGAGCCGCCCTCCATGTCCGTGAACTCCCCCTTCGACTGTGTCCTCCTAGGTGAGCGTCGATCACTAGCTCGCAGTCTAGGACGGACCGCAGGGCGATCGCTGCTGTCGATGAGTTCCTCTAGGCCAAGCTCAGTGTCTCGGCCGACAAGCGACAAGGTTCTGACTGGTTTGTGGATTCCATGTCTGGTTTCGATTTCTGCAGGCGCTCGGCTATGACGTGCACCCAGACGAGTACCACAAGTCAGCACGCAAACACGCACCTAAGCCGCGCAGCGGTGGCCGGCTTGAGCACGGCGTCCGGGTCCGCGTCCACGGCGTCGGCAAGCCGCGTCCATGTGGCAGTGCGCGTTGAGCCCGCCCACGGCTGCGGCGAGCAGCTTCGACACGTGCGCGGACAGCGCCTCGAGCCGTGTCCAGCGATGGGCTGACCGCGGTAGGTCCCGCGGCCGGCGGCGCCTGCTCGCCCGCTTGGGGGGGGGCGCACGCGTGCCCGCCTGTGCTCGCGTGCCACGGCAGCGGCTAGCCCGCGCTCGCCCACGCGCCCGTGGAGGTGGCCCGCCTGCTCGCGTGCCCGCGGCTCGCACACACGCCGGCGCTCGCCTACTACAGTGTCCAGTTGCTACTGTGGCACGGCCACGTCGGATGCTGGTGCTGGCGTGGTAGGTTTTGGACCTTTGGTGCGCGACGGTAGTAGATTATGGAATCAAATGGGATCTTTTTAAGTTCGAGGACCCAGATGGAATTCCACAAAAGTTTAAGGATCAGGCGTGCATTTTACTCTAATATTTAATAGGCAGTGAAAAGAGTTTGTCATTTCTACGTCGGATCGATGGCAACTCAATCTCAGACCAGCTCTCTTCGACCTGTTCACCGCATGAACCTCTCTGCCATGTTGACCTCGCCGGTCGCCACTCACTGCAAATTATCACAGTTGCACTGTTTGTTTGAGCATATCAGCAAGAATCAGCCCTACTTTGCAGCCATGGAACAATATTTTTCTCTCACAACAAATCAGCCATAGTCGCAGATAAGTCCTGCCGAACAGAGCAAGTGTATTTGTTGACCTTAACTGGCGTGTTGCCATGGCAAATGAGTTTCAAAACCTCATCGACAATGGTGCCTCGGGCCTGGTGCCCTGACCTCTTGGCGCTAACATCATAACGGGAAAGTGGCAGTACTACATAAATATTATTGGGGGTGGGCATTTCTAGTTAACGAGTGGGCATTTCTAGTTAACGGAGGCGGGCAAGGCAACCACCTCCGTCTAAAGGTCTGCGTTAATGCAGACCTATGGCGCCTCGGTTAATCGATTAACGGAGGCGGACATCTTAAGTTGCCCGCCTCCGTAAATGCCTACTCCTGAGGCGGGCATGGTACAACGCCCGCCTGCGTAAATTGAATAAAAAATAAAAAAGCTCCAAGTTCTGGAGCTAGCTCCAGCTTCTGGAGCCGCCGTCACCAAGGCTGTCCGTCCACTGTTCATGCCGGCTCTCGTCGTCGCCAGGGCCGAGCGTCTGTGCGCCACCGTCCGCCGGCTAGCCGCCGCCGTCGTCTGTGCCGGCTCCAGATCTACAAAAGGGAGAGAGGGAAGAGTGAGGGAGATGAAGAGGGGAAGAGGGAGGGATATGAGGAGAGTTGTACTTGCATTGGCGCTGTCGATGCTGACCTCCACCAGATCCGGCCGGCCTCCATCGCATCCAGCCGGCCTCCTACCGGATCTGGCCGCCCTCCACTAGAGAGGGAGACGAAGGCATGTCCGTCCTTCCTCGTCGCCTCCACTCCAGAGAGGGAGAGGGTGCAGGAGACAGGGGGCACGGGAGAGCGCGTGGACAGGGGTGAGGGAGAGTGCCGGGAGATGGAGAGGGTGCGCTAGGAGAGGGAGAGCGCCGGGAGAGAGATGAGCACTTCTCTAGGAGTCGCGAGCGCCAAGAGAGAGCTGAGCGTGGGGAGAGAGAGGTGAGTGCTTCTGTGCGGTGGCCGGTGGGGAGAGAGGTGGAGGGAGGGAGTTGGGATTTTATAGTTAGGGTTTGGAGTGGGCTGCCAAATGGGCCTCGTGCCTTTTAACCGAGGCGGGCCTCGTATGGCGGGCCTTGATTTTTTGACCACCAACCGAGGTTGGCACTCGGGGCCGGCAGCCCTGCCACCAATTAACGGAGGCGGCCGCCCACCATAACCGCCTCAGTTAATAAAAGGGTACCGCCTCGCAAAATCTTTTCTGTAGTAGTGTGGATCATTAAGCACAAGTTTCACTCTCAAACCATCCTTACTCATCACAAGGCATGGTGGGTGGTTCACGACTTCTCACAACAACACAACATCGACTATGACGAGATGTTTGTGATGATCAGAACTGTCCTAAGCATTGCCACCTCGCCCGCTCTTGACCGATCCACCAGCTTCAATGTCCCACTTTCCTTTTTATGTATGAGGCAAGCATGAAAATATTTGTATTTAGAATTGCATCTTATGTAACTAGAGGGGCTGGTACCCTATAGGTTATATATTAATAAATATTATAAAAAAGAGTATGGCTACAGAGAAATTAAATATACTTCTATCTTAATTCTCAATGGTTGTCTTCTGATAGTGTTGAGTCCCGACGATGTTCAGCATCCTTCAATTCCCTTGTTTGCAGCATTGCACAATGTGATGCCAATATTGCATCCCTGATATATGCAACAGTTCTTCATTGTTACTTAGAACAGCAAGCTCCTTTTTACTGAACATCTAGCTTTCATGCCGCTAACCGAAGCCAATAACATATAGTACATGGAAGTTCCAAAGGGTTATACTAGGACCTGGATATATTGGTTTGCTTTGTCTACGATGTGTGCAAGATCAACGAGGCAAAGTTGTTGATAACAAAATTTCTCTTTCCATACTGTACCGCCTAGTGCTGATGTTGTCCTCCACATTTGCCATTTCTATAACCCCCAGATTTTCCTGAAACTTGTTGTCTGAACCTTGGATCCCCTGGAGTCTCATCTCCACATACCGCATTGTTGGCCTGTCATCACCCTTCATTTGCAAGCACAATGCTGCTATTGCTGCCACTTGCATGACCTCATGTTTCCCTTCCTCCATGACTTGCACATCTAGTATCTCACTTAGCCTTTCATTAGACAATAGAAACATGAAGTGTGCTACTAGACTAACACCATCCAGTGACATGAGCACAGTTGGCTTCTTTCGAGTTAGTAGATCCACGAGCATGACACCATAGCTGTAGACATCACTTTTATCTGTCAATCGCTTTGTGTAGAAATACTCAGGGTCAAGATACCCATAAGTTCCTTGTATAGCTGTTGTCACTCCTGATTGATCAATAGCTATGCCTCTAGATGCACCAAAGTCTGACACTTTTGTCGTTAGATGATCATCGAGCAATATGTTGCTTGTCTTGATGTCCCTATGAACTATTGATATCGAAGCCTCAGAGTGAAGGTAGGCCAAAGAGCTAGCAACTTCAAAGGCAATTCTCAGACGGTCTTTCCACGTAATAGATAGGGGCTTATCAACATGAAGATGGGCATCTAGTGTACCATTTGGAATAAATTCATAAACTAGTAGTGGGACTTCAGTCTCAAGGCAGCATCCAAAAAGTTTCACAACATTTCGGTGATTGAGTTGAGAAAGGATAGCCACTTCATTTATGAAACCATCAATTTGCCTTTGGATCACAAATTTTGACTTCTTAATGGCAACAACATGTTGATTTGAGAGTATGCCTATATATACCGTGCCATGCCCTCCCCCATATATATACAAATTAACTTAAAGGAAGCATGCACTATATATATATATATATATAGTGCATGTTTCTCTTAAGTTAATTTGTATCTTCTAACTACCATATAAAGCCACCTAACATACAAATCCCACTAGACTGCATGCATGCATGTATGAAATTTTTTGTTGGTTCGAATCTTTGAAACAAATTTTCTTCTAAAGCATAACCTCGATTGACAAACCGTTTGTTATATCTGACACAAAAAAATA